TTGATAAAATAATCACACAGCCACAGTTAAATGGGGTAGGATAAAAAATGGGTGAAACTGAAAATGGGCTTACGTCATGTAGGGCTTCAGGGGGACATGAGTCTGGTGACCAGATAGTTTCTATTTACTTGGTGACCAAGTGCTGTAACTGAAACCATACCCCAGACACCCGGCCATGGTTCCAAGGCATTCCACTGATCAGCTGCTGGGGTCCCCAGCTATATACCAGTCTACAGCTCCCCGGAGGTTCGCGGTCATACCTCATGATGCACACCCTTCCCAGAGTGATCAAGCTTTCTGCTCTTGATTGATTTGAAAGGCACACTGTAAGGTTGGGCTCCTATGACTGATTAACCAGGCAGTTCTGACCTTGTATAGGAATACAGAACTGCAGGTAACAAAAATGGTGGCCAAACAAACCACTTAGTATTAGCAGACCCACAGGAGATGCTCGGGACCCTTCCAAGGGAATCACATGAAATATGACCTCTTAGAAGTGCTTCTTGCTTCTTTGGCATTGTGTTTTGTGCTAAGAACGGCCCTCCAGGGTTCATAGGCACACAGCTTTTTCTTATTGAATGCTAACCTTGTCTAGGCAGCCATGGTGAAGGTAAAAGCGCCCTGCTGTGCTGGAGGGCTCAACTCTGAATTCAGTAAATGGCGCCTATTTGTTTTGCTTTTCTCACTCACCAGCAAGAGAGCCTGTATCGCACATTTGAGGCCAATTTTTGCAACTGTCAAATCTGTGTTGCTTGCTGTCTTTGTATTTCCTGCTGATCTGTTTTCTTCCTTCCCCCAGGGACTACGCACAGAGTTGTAACACAGTCGGGGAGGAGAAATGGGATTTTTGTATCCATGTTGGGGGCATCTTAATCCCACAGAGCTGGTAAATTAAGCCTGGGCTTTTATCTCTAATCTTCACAATGAGAACTGTCTAATGTTAGACCATTAGGGGCCCTACTTTGGGTCAACCCTGTTGCCCTCAGGCTGGGAAATTTAAGGGATTTTACTGGGAAACTATAATGAATAATATGCCCGCTTCTCTTTCCTCTCTGAACACGCTAATTCTATTAAAGATCTTTCACTGTGAGTCTGCTCCCTTTGTCTCTATAAGGCAGAGGGTGCCATCCTGTTTTAGAGCTTGCACCCCTTAAATTTGGGGTGCCTCAGTACCCCTTGGTCATGTGCTAGCAAAACAACGCTCTTGACATTTAGAGCTTCCCCCTCCTCCAGTTTTATTGAGAAATAATTGACATAGATTCTTTGGACTCTGTGTTTAAATGAAAACTACCAGCAGTTTCATATTTAAAGAAGTTAAAGGGAATGATACAACTCTAGTGTCCAAAATGCTTTAGCTCTTAATCAATTTCCTTTATTTTACAGATGAACTGAAATGCAGAACAGATAAAGGTCACACTAAAGCCACAACACAGATCATTACTAGCATAGTAACTATTTCCTAAAATTATATCCAGTGAATTTTCTGCTAGGTAACAGGATTCCATCAGCATGAAGGATCTGTTGGCTTTAGCAAAATGGGATCAGTCCACCTTTTGCTGTGAGTTTGTGAGTTCTGAGTTTATTTTTTGCTTTGGTAACATTTTACAACACTGTATGTGCCTTAGGGGTACAGGTTCACGCCTCTTCAGATGTACGTTACCACACCAAACCCACCACCAAAGTCTCCACCATCCTCCACCATAGTCCATCGGGACCCTCCCTCCCTGACTGTCCACCCCCTACCCTCTACCTCTGGTAGCCTCGATTCCACGGTCAGATTTCTAGCGTTTTGTTTCCATTGTTTTAGTTAGGTTTCTTTATAGCCCATGAGTGAAATCATCTGACATTTGTCTTTTTAAGGCTTAAATAATAGTAATTCTCCACTGCTGTATCCTCCAGTTATTATCCTGCCGTCACACATCATAGCTTGTCAGCCTTCACTGCAGGCTGTACCATGAATCTCTCACTTGTAGAAACTGACAGAGACGGTTTTCGAACCCAGGCAAAGAAGCTGGGTGGGATCTCAGGCTTTCTTTTTAACAAGGACAAAAACAGATTTACCAAGAGTTCACACAAAAGCAAGTTTAGTAAATATCGGCATCTTGTTAGCCAGATTACCACTGTTGTCTCAGCAACCTGACAGTCAAGAACTGATGAATTTACCAAAGGGAGATAAAAAAATAATTTTCAAATGTTCAGTTTCATTTTTAAGATGTCTCTTGATTTCACATAGTAAAAGTGAATATATGGATAATTGAGAGTTAATCTCAAACTTCACTTTCTATTATTAAGCTCCCTTCTCCTTGTTAAGTGTCTGGCTGATCAGATGCATCCTGTGCTCTGTGTTTGCCAGACGTATGCCCTAAAGCACCGGGGAGGTGCCAGTAGAATCCGTGAGGTACTGAAGAAGTTCTCTCCCTAAGCAGCTCCAACCAAGACCTGAGCACAACACAGTGCAGGGCCTGGCCACATCCACAGACAAGGCACTCCCAGAGCAGAGATCTCCGTGCTGGAGTCCCACTGGGCTGGGAACCCTGTCTTGGATCTACGTCACTCCAGGGCTTTTCCTATCTGATTTCCATCTCCAACTTTCCTGTCACAGGTGTCATACCTTGACTATTCTTTCTCTTCCCCCTTTCTTTCACAGGTGGTGTTCCCAATAAACTTCTTGAATTTCCAAATCCATTCTGCTTCCTGGATTCTGCTTCCACATTGACATAACGAACTCACACTCACTTTTATCTTTTGCATAATCCAATTGTTTTAGTGGTGCACACTAAGGATCCCGCCTGAATTAAACACTTTACCTCTTGCCCCCTTCACAGCTTCTGTTGGTGAGAAAAACAGTGCAGCCACAGTGTTCTTGGACCAGGTGTAGCCACTTGAACAAAGCTAAGTCAGTCAGGGCTCTTTCCCAAGAATTTTAATGATAAGATACTGAAACCATGGTTACATGATTTTGAGAACCAGAGCTGTAAATTCATGTTGCTGGTTGAGGCCAGAATTTGTGCCATGGTGATTTCAGACCTCATGTAAAAGTCATGTGGAAAGAGGAAGGAAGTCTGTTGCAGCCCATTGTACCTGGAAACCGCCTGGTACTCACTGTTCTAAGTAGGTGAGTCAGTACCTACCTGCCAAAAGGTAGGTTGACCATGGCATTATAGGCCTGTCCAGGTGTCCTCACTCCTCAGGACCTGTCCCTCCAAATACCATTCCTCATTCTATCAACTGCTTCAAAGGCCTCCTCACTCTTCTCTCCGAGTCCAGTCCCTCGCCTTCTAATTATCCTTCTACGATGACCTTCTCAAACCCAATAAGGATTCAGTTCCTCACCTGCCTTTATGGAGATATGGAGAAGACTTCATGTCTCCCTTGTGCCAGCTGGTAATAGCTCTCCCCAGCCAGACACTGGGCTCTTGCACTGTGACTCCCTCATTCTATAACCACCTCCATGGATCCAACCTCAACTATTCCTCACTCACCAATCTCCATGACTGGAATGACTTTTCTTACACAGGGAGGTCTACCAGAATTTCCTATAACTTCAAAGACCAAAGCATCACTAAGCTTGGCTAGTTGGACTTCTTGGCTAGTTGGATCTTCCACCAAATCTCACGACATGGATTTGTCCTTGGGTTCCTCCTTCCTAGGGCTCAGCTGCTCTGAGCCTGAAGAATGAACACAAAGTCAGATGGACGCAGCTCTGAATGCTCCCTTCCTTTTTCTGTGGCCACTGCCAGGTTACTTACTGTCCTTAAAACCAGTTCCTCCAAATAGGAGATTAGAATAAAAACACCCTCTCCTAGAACTGTGAGGAAAATAACAAGGGAGAACACATAAGAAGCATCTGACACCCACAGTTGTTTACAGATCTGGTTTTACTTCTATCAGGTTCAAATTACTTAATTTAGTTTGGAGCTGCCTGTGGCAATAAAACATGTCATGTTTTTAACTTTTTGTTTTTGACAGGCCATAGAATATAAATGCAAACATTTGAATATTTCACATTTTAATTTTTCTCTGGCAGCAAAAGAAAATTGTTACTATAATTATGTTTCCTTGAAATGAAGCGTGTAGGAGAGAATGAGAAAGGGTGAGTGGAAGAGAAATGGAAGAAGAAGAGAGAGAGAGAGAGAGAGAGAGAGAGAGAGGAAGGAGACAGGGAGAGAGATTTAATGCTTTTATGTAAGAAGTGGAAGGCTGTTCAACCGCAAACACAGAAGTGCTTCCAAAACACTGTTTATAAAGCCTGCTTCCTTCAGATTTCAAAATAATACAAATGCAGGTCAGTCTATGAATCACATAAGTGTTTCCCACCTCCTCCCAGGCTCTTCCCCACAAGCTTTCTGGAGTGACCCGCTCAGAGGAGACTGTAGATGAATCTCAGGCAGCTGCCTGCCTGTTTTCTTAACAGGCTTGGATGGGAGTTGTGAAGGCTGGCTCCAGAGGCCCGATTGAGCACTGACTCGCCAAAGCGCCTCACAACTTTGCGCCGAGTTGCACTGTGAGCCAAATTGGGCCTTGGCTTCCTGCTGCCGAAGAGTTATCCTAAATCACCACAGCAAAGTAAGCGGGGAGGTTCTGTTCTGATCATACAAGTGAAGTTGGCGAAATGCTGTCATTTTCTACCCACAATGAAAACAGCAACCATGTATGTGAGAAAAATATCCCAGGGCCCAAGTTCTACATAATGTTTCTAAGTTGGTTTCCTTTTTGGGATGCCGAAGTCTTCCCCTAAAAGAACCTGCACTACTTTTAATCTGCCACAGAGCTTGGCTCTGCATCAATCATTTTAAGAAAATCTAAGAACATCAAAATGCATTCATCCCCAGAGAACTGGACCTCAGTAACATATTCATCCTTAGTGTTTTTGGCTAAATAGACCCATGTCACTAGCTTAATTGGTGGCAGGTTATTTTCCAGATGTCAAATAATCTTTTCCTATTTAAGAGTCAGAAATAAAAACATTCACTCATAAAGGGATTGAATAATTTGGAACAAGAACAACATAAGTATTTATTTGAAAAACAATTTTCCATTTAAGTAAAATGGCAAATCAGCTGTTGCAGCTTCTTTTTACTAATTTTGACTTGCACTCAGTCACTTTTATTCCTCATAGTCAAAGATATCGCTGCAGAAAACTATTTCACAAAGTATTTAGAAAAAAAAAAACTATATACAGCCTATTTGATAGAAAGTTAATTAAAATAAAACGAAGTCGGGCAATATAAAGCTAAGAAACAAGCTGACATTTATAAACACAAATAAATAAATATGTGCAGACAAGTCTATGCCACAATGGATAAAGAAAAGCTTCACAATGTACATGATGGTGACGAGCATGGAAAATACCGCAGGAACGTGGACTAACACAATACAGTTTAAAACGAGGGGAAAAACTCAGTGAGTCAAACTGATATTATCCTTGAAGTTAGGTTAAACTGATTTTTGGCTCCATGGCTAAATTCCTGTCACTCTGTGCTGAGGGTGAGAACCATATGCTTAGAACTGCGGGCAGTGCAGCTCAGTCTTCTAAACCCATTTGCAAATGTTTCTATTCCGCTATTTCTTCATTTTCCTTAATGAAGTCTCAAAAATTTCTAAAGTGGAGCTGATGTTGCTGTCAGATATGAAAAAAAAAATATTTTCCCAGCTCTGGATGAATAGGAATAGAAATCAGAGGCTTTTTTGAAGCCTGTATCTTAATTACTATTAACTAAATAAGCACATTGGGCAGAAATCTCACAGTAGAAAGCTAATTAAATTCTATTATAAATCTCTAAGGCTTGGGGGTAAAGTATATAACAATTCAGTGACTAAGATTAATGTTCATCTATATGTAACTGCTGCCAGAATAAGCAGCCTGTTAATAAAAGCCTATACAAAAGGTCTTGGCTCTATTATAGTGAATCTTAGTGACCTGTAGATTTCCTTTCCTTCCCTACTACATACACCCCTAACCTGTCAAAGCCACACTGCATCTCTCCAGGATGGTGTTCAGGCAGCTGCAAAATTGGACAGTAATTCACAGTGTTGAATCACCAATTCAAGTCTGGCAAGTATCTTCATGGTTGAAGATGGGCAAAAGGTGGTTGGTGTAGAGCCAGAAGGCTCTCCCATGCCTCACACCGAGTTACCTATTTTCTGCACAGAAGGGGAAAGCCCCACACTGCTCAGCGCTGACTTCTACCTTGAAGCAAATCAGCTCTGCCAGCAAGTCTCATCACTTACCCTGCTACTTACCCCAACCAGATACTTCCCAGATAATCCAGAGCAAATGAAAAGGTATAGCATGAACTAAGACTGATTTCTAAGAATCTGGATATGACGTCAACATTCAAGATCAATTAAAATGTAACTTCCCACACATTTACTAGCAAGCACATTTACTATGACTCAGAATAGTTTAAAAATTAGGTAAGCTGCTTACTATTATGCACGGTGTGTATGCAGCAACTGGTCCATAAATCATACACCATCTATCCTGCCAGATCTCCTCTGGCTCTTATAATCAGAGGAGTTATATACAAATAATTTTCAGACTAGCAATTGTAGACCCACATGTTTATAAATTATTTTGATTATAATAAGTTATCCACATGTCTCAGTTTATATTCCTTGGAACAAAAGTCTTGTAAGGAAAAGAGGCTTTTTTTCATTTGTGTAACTGGAAATGTCTTAAAGTCTCTAGAGCACAGACAGGGCCATGGAGTTTCACTGGTTATACTTCCTAACAGGGATTGCCAACTGTCTGTCTCTGGAAGGGCAAGGCAGAGACACCACATGCCGAGTGGAAATTCTCATTCCTCCCATGAGCCTGTGGGTTCAATACACGGCAGAGGAAAAAGCAGAATTGTAAGAGATTCATTCTTAACTACTGGGTGGTCTACATTACAGAAATGGCAGCATTAAACTTGATTCAAATGTATGGGCTTACATTAAAATTAATGATGATGCTTAATTAAGCCTTGTGTTTTACTAGACTAAGTAAAATAACAGACATTCACATGGCTTTATATTAAGCAGGTCCAAATTTTGAAATTTTTTTCTTTCTCGAGCATGCTATGCTCTTGAAGGTTAACCATTAAATATAATTATCACTGGGTCAGATATTATACATCCTTTTTTATTTATGGTTGAAATGTCATTGGAAAGAGAGGAAATGGTACCACATTCATAGAAACTGGTGCTGGGACTTGTGGGCATCCAAAATGGTTATTAGTGTGCTTTTGATCGTTGAGAAAGAGGATGAAGCACATGGCCACATCCAAAGTTAACTATTAGGTAGTCTCTGAATGTACTCCTAAGGAAAGACTTATCCTAAGTTCTCTCAATCTTGTCCTCTAATTTTAATGTTGCCCCCCCCTTTCCGGAGTTGTGGTTAGCTTGATTCAACTGTATGTTTAAAAAATCATAACTCCTGCAGCTATTGAGTCCCATTGCTCTCAGCACTGATGTTTTAGTGATGGGAGACACTCCACAGGAAAGAAGTACACTGAATATAGACAGATTTTGAATTTCACAGAGTCTCCTTAAGAAAATACATTGCACATATGTCTACAGATGCAGTTTCCTAAGGAATCACATATTTACATGTGCTAGTTGTAGTTTCACTGCTTGAAGAGCTTCACATTTCTGATTCCTTTTTCTTATATTAAAGACATTAAAACTTTGTGCTGTGGCTGAAAGTATCTGACATGATAATATTTTTATAGAAGTTATCTGAATGAGCACTGCAATAACCCTTAACTTTATCAATGACCTGATGGACAGGGATGACTGATGTTTGTTCTCCATCAGCATGGGTCAGTTTTGAAGAGGACTTGTCCATGGAAGTGCTGTCTGCAAAAAAATGATACAAGAAATTAGGCTACAAGATAAGCTGGTGATAAGCCTAAGACACTGGGCTCTATTTTGCACATTAAAGAGATAGACAAAGGAAATGAAGACCTGGTTGGTTCTTGGTTAAGATAATATGTAGCACTAAATTTCATCGTTTTCATCTTCAAAATCCATTCCTATGTATGAAAAAATGTTAATTTGCTTAGTGATCTGTGTTTCTTTTTTTTTTTAAAGATTTATTTATTTATGCATACAAGAACTAGGGTACAGGCCAGAGGTGCAGGGGGTGAGAGGATTCACCAGAGACAGAGTGGGGAACAGAACAGGCAGAATGACTGAAATACACTGCTGAGGGGGGCAGCTGGTGTGACAGGAGAGGTCTGCTGCGCCATGTGGTCAGCTCCCTGGCCGGGGATCGAACTTGTGCTGCAGTAGCTGTGGATTGCTTCATAGTGCTGAGACTTAATCCCCTGCCACCACCAGGGAGGCCCTCATCTGTGTTGAGCTTTAAGAAATGTTCTGGGAAGTAAGTCGTGACTTTCAAAGAGCCAGTGAATACACAGATCATAAATATATGTGGCAAATGGCTCCAAAGATAAGACAGATTATATATCAAATGAATTATATATTGAAATATTTAAGGGATAAACGATAGGTAACTGAGATATGGTTTTGAAATAATTCAGGGAAGGGGAAATGGGTAGGTGGGTATGAGTTCATAGATCCAAAGGGATTCATTATATTACCCCTTCTACTTTGTAATAAAAAATTATAAAATAAAATTTAAAAGATTTGGGAGAATGAAAGTAATGAAAATAAGCAAAAGGCTACTTTCAATAGATTTTCTCATGGTTTTTAGCATGCAAAATGATTGGAATATAGAAAAATGCATCTTTAATTTTTTAGATGCTAAAAATGAAAATTATCTTCACCCAGCCATATTTTTAAGTATTTGCTTTTATTAGCCATCCCCTGGTCTCAGAATTATGCCACTGCTGGCCACAATAACAGCAGAACAACTGATAGTAATATAGGACTGCTAAATAATTATCTGTTCTGATTTGTTCAATATCAAATATTGAAATAATATTTGCCAACCCAAAAGCTTTCTAAACTTAAGTCTCTGCAACTCACTTCAGCTCTATTATGTGCAAATACCTATGATATCCTCTTATACCCTATGAATATCTTGGTAAGATCTAATCAGTTCTTCTCCCAATACATTTTGGAGAAAAACACTACCCTAAAATTAACCATAGAGATTTCAAACCAAGGAAAGAGCAATTATAAGCTTCTATAAAGATGAAGGAGCAAATACGACTGTCTATAAAGCACTCAATTCCCTCCATCTATATTTTCTCTATTCACTGCAGAAGAGACACACACTCTATCCCAAAAAAGTATGATCATGGCTCCCTTCAAAACTGGGATGTTCACTCCCGGCTTTTTATGTTTCGAGTAAGTTGAATCCAGTATGTAACAGAGCACTACAAATCCATCAGCAATTGATAAAAGCCATCATCATTTTATCCGCCGTCTTTGGAAATGACTGAAACAGTGTGCTCATTCTACACTACAGGAAGAAAGCCAGGATAGGAGTTTGATGGGAGGAATGGGCAGACCAAAGCGCTGCAGAATGAGAATGTCCCAGGGCTGGTGAGAAAGGGTCAGGGAGTCACAGTGTAAGGCGTCCCCCATGTGGCCCTGCGCAAGCTGACTGATTCTGTGCTCTTATTCAGTTCAGGTATTCACTAGCCATTGGTTTTCTGTTGGGGATTTTGCTATTGACTTAAATTTTCATAATGAACAATTTGTGCTGATTTTTTTGTTGTTGTTTTAAACCATCAATCTGGAAAGAAAAGTAAGGTTAATTCATTCTGCTTCATGGACAATATTTTGAGATTTTTGATGAGTGCCATTCCAAATAAATGACCCTATTTTCAGGGCCTTATAAAGTAGTCTATTCACAGTCGAATAAAGTAAAATTCTGAACAAGGTCTGTATTTCAATATCTTTCCCAGTACTCTAGTGAAATATTATCTTACAGGCAATACAGATTTTGATTATAGCTGTGAGAAAACCAGGGGCTAGGGAAATGAATAATTATTTAACCTATGATGAAAATTGAAGCAGATAAAAACCCTCAAAAAGCAGGCATAGAATTGGCAATTTTTCCTTTATAACTTCTATGAATGTACCATGACATATGCAGTAATTCATAAGAACAGTCGGAAAAGTTAAGTATTTCACTCCCCTCTACAATAAACCTCTCAAGTACTTTCTTTGATGATATTTTACCTGATAACTAACCCATTAACTGCAGGGCATTGTACATTTCCTAGAAGGAGCGGCTTGGAGACAACCCATGCAGGAAAGAGCCAGCACAGCCCACAATCATTTGAAATTTCAGAAATTCCAGCTCAAAGCAGGAATGTCATTGTGCTAGCTGAGAAGTATTGTAAAGAGCAAGCAATTTTGCTGGTGCAGCAAGAGCCTTAGTTTAATTCATGCAAATCTTCTCTTATTACCTTGCCAAAAAAATTCATGCATTCAATAAAGTAATAAAAGTTTACCTGAAAAGATCCACTTTTGTTGAAGGAATGCTCTTAGGAGACATTATCTATGCCATAAAGATATGAATTTCTAGATCAATTCCAAGAAATAAACCAGCTAGACATCCATCATGACATGCAGTAACTTCTTGCATGTTCCGAGTGCCCCAAGTGCCCCAGCGATCCTCTGAGAATTGGTTTGGTGGCAGAAGGGCCACTTGTACACCAGTTGATTGGAAACCAGAGTGTATGATATGATGGAAGGGACGGCATATAGGAGACTACATCCTTATGCTAGTTGAGAAGAACCCATTTAACCCTGAGGGTTTTGTTATGGAAAAAGAAAACATGAATGCATTCTTTTAAAAAACACCTTTCTTAAATAGTCCAAGTTTTCGTATACTTCCATTTCTATGTCTCCTTTTATTTCCTTGTCAATTTTCTCCATGATCCTATAGTTTAAGACTTAGTATTTCCAAGTATTTTATTACTACTTCCAAATGTCCCCTCCTCTAACTTACCTACTTTGTTATATTCTCTCACCTTTAAAGTTGTATTTATTCGGTCTAGTCATTCTCAGTTATGTTAAAAGGAAAACAATTTAATTGGTTTAATTCCTATTCATTTATTACTGACATAATGCAGTAACAATTTGTATTTGAGAAGTGGAAGAAAAATGAGGACCTAATTTTAAAGTTGATGAAATAAAGTGAAAACATCATTCATTTGAAGGAAAAGCTATTTCATAATAGGGAATTACCATGTCAATAAATATTCTTAGACTATACACTTGTGCTTGATTTGTTAAAGAGGTATTCTCAGCAGGGATACACAAAACTCTTCATTTTCTGCAAAAGTGCTTTTAAACAGGACTCAAAGACTTCAACTTATTTTAGAAAAGTTCACAGCTTTCATTTGATTCCAAAAATTATTCTTGACTCCAGGAAACTGTCCTAAGCTGCTGCAAGTTTTCAGATATTACTTTAGTTGACTTGGAATTAACAAGCTCTCAAAATACTCAAATTTTCCCCCACAATACTATCATGCATCCCAGACGGTGGCCACTCCAGTGGGAAGGCATAGGCAGAGGTACAAACAGGGACATGTAGAAGGATTCAGATGTACCTAAGGGTCATTTGTCATACAAGTGTTTGCAATGTGAACATTTACTGACATATCACACAATGCATTCCCTATCTGCAAAAGCCAAATATGAATCTTTTCTGTGCCACTCACCCCTGCTTATGTTCAATAGCTAAACAAATCCCAATTTTTTTTTTAAAAAAAGATATTTCCTTTATCCTTTTAGAAGCATCTTTAATTAGGAAGTGTTGGGTGCTAAGTTTTGTCAGCTACTTGCTTGAGGCTTAATTAGTATTTAAAGGGAACAGTCCTGCTATCTTCCTTTGATATTATTGAAAGATTACACCTTTTCACACCACTCGCTGACTATCAAAACAATTTTTATTTCCATGTTGTCATCAGAATTTTTCATGTACATACTCCATATCAGAATACATATCATTTCAAGTATCATGAAATTCTAGAAGATGAGCAAAGATATGGTGTTTCTCATCATCCTCTGTCACCTTCATGTATAATGGTCTCTGGTCATTCATATTTAATTAAAAATTAACAGCAATTGCCAATAACACATCCAATGATTAAGGACTTAAGTCTTAAATAGAACATATATCCAGGATGCTATTTCTTCCTGTTGCTATGTTGACTTACCAAGTAACTTTCATACTATGTTGAAATTATCCACAATTTCTATATTTTCTTAAATCAAAAGACATATATAAATTTTTAAATAAATACCATATTTTTTTAAACTTAAGGTTTTAATCAAATGAAATTACTATTATATTCAGAGTTAAGGACTATAGCTAATTTTAGTTATAAAATTAAAAAAACACAAATATTCAGAAAGGTCAAACAGAATTTGATTTTCACAAATTTAAAGCTACTACCCAATGGGGCACTGTGATCTTTCAATCTTCATGATATGCCAATTTTCTCAATGAAAACATGGTGAGATCTGAACCAGAGGTCTTCACCGTGGCCAGCACAACTCACCGGGGTGACTATTCCTTTTGAAGTAGGTGGTAGAGCTGGACTTAGATTTGGAAGTAAGGTAGGTTGAGTTAGAACCAATGGAACTTGAAGACAAAGATTTTCCCAGATTATCAGAACCTTTCTTGATGATATTGGTGGCAGTTTTACTCCAATCTGAAAGAAATGACATCTCTCTGTGAATCTTTTGGGGGGACATGGTCTACCTAAAGAATCAACACTGCATCAGTTATGTAATTTACCCAGAATATTGAATGTAAACCATAAACTGAAGCTAACTGTAAGATTCTCACTTTGATCATATGTACATGTTGTTCAGAAAATCTACTTTAGTGTTCTAAGGGTGAAAAGCAAGTAAAAAAAAGTAAAATAGTAATATTCTTCTTCAAGCACTTAATATATATTATATATAATATTTTATATATAATATATATATATATATATAGAGAGAGAGAGAGAGAGAATCTCTTTGCCCAATAATGTTATAATGTTACTAAGGATCTCAAGACTGTGGAAATGAAGATATAGTACAGAGAGACCTTTGGATAGCTCACTTGTTACAGCTATATAACCTTGGGCAACTCAATTAATGTGTGTGGAATTTACGCCTTTCCTTCAGAGAACAGGAGAGCTAGGCCATGGTCTTTAGCTTTCTTGGCGTCCTAATAGTCAAAGCCTTCAATGAAGCATTTTCACACACTTCACAATAGCTACCATTGACATTGGGTATGGAATCCCCAGCCCTCCTTATTCTCAGGGTTATTGTCCTGGTGCCCAGAGTTCCTGCTCGTCAGCTAGGTGTAGGGTCAGGCAGGGGCCTCTCACCAAGGGCAAAAGTCCCGGTATGAGGAACATACTAGAAACCAGTATCTGCTGAAAACAGCAGGCAGATATTAGAATAGAAGTAACATGTTTTGACCAGCAGGAGAAACAGGGCGCCCCCCCCGACCCCAGACAATAGCCCCTGGTCTTACATCCCCAATAACTGCTTTCCCCACACATGTACACTCCCTACTTACTTGCCTCCCCTTTGTACTTGATGCTAATAAATACAAGACTGCCTTTGGCTGCGGCTGCACATTACATCCCTATGTAGCCCTTCCAGGCCTCTTACTGCTCCACATGGACTCTGAGTAATCTTGCCCTCATCCGCTTCCAACACTGCCGCCCCTCAAGGCGACAAATGGGTTGCTCTGACAACGCAAGACCAAATGATGAATATTTCCAACCCTTAGATGTAAAAACCAGTGACTGACATGCCACTTTACCTGAGTTTTCTGCCAGCCGAAACCTGCCACAGCACAGATGTCGCCTCCACTGTTTCTGAACATTCTCCTTCATAGCACAGTGGAAGATAAATATAAACATACCTGGAACAAAAGAAGCATGCTTTTAAGATAAATCCCATAAAATATAGATTCATGTTTATTTAAAAATTTTTACATCCGAGTCATGAAGCAGATTGTCAGGAATCTTAAGTACATATATAGTAGATGGTTTTATCACTGAGAACAGAATACAGAGGGTCAGATAAAAGTGGAATCATTACATGGATCTGAGCCTGTCTTTGTTCTGTTTAGTACTGACTGTGAATTAACCTAAAAGCTAAACTCAATGAAAGACGCATTTCATATTTTCTTTACATTTGCTTAAAAATTACATGAAAACATATAAAGTTTAGGGGAGAAAAGAAAAAATGGAAAAACCCATGAACTCATCATTTATTTCAATTTGTATATTCTGAACTATTTTATGTGTACATGTTATTATGAGTTTGGGCTATAGAGAAGTGGTATTCTGGCTCTTTCTGCCTCCTTGTGTCTGTGCAAGTGTCCCTTTCCTTTTCTTTTTTTTTGATAATAAACCTGCCCTTTTGGATATTAAAAAATCCCGCCCTTTTGACCTGAAAAAGACCACGTATTAGCAAATGCAATCATTCCACCTGGCTAGCTTTGGTTATTTACTATTTTAAAACAGAAATATTGCTTATTGTGAAGTAGACTTCAGAGTGATAGTCATTTCCTATATCTACATCACTTATGTCTTGGAAGCCAACTTCTTTACCTTTTCATGGAATTTGCTTCTTCATCTTATCCTTCTATTAACTGTCTCATCAATTTCTCCCTCTGTACTTGTTTATTTCCAAGCATGTTCTAGCAAATTTCTCTTTAAAAACAAGCAAATAATTCTTCCTTACTCCCCAATCATGAATAAACAGTAACCACTGTGCATGGTGTGAACCCAATCTTCTTCCACATTAGTAATTAGTAATATCAATGTATTATTACTATATCATTATATAATTAATGTAAGTAAAATATTTTATTTAGTATTATATAATTTATTGCTAATAGTTCATTGATAATAAAATAATCAGTAAAGGAAATAAATCCTAGAGATCCAATTATTTGTCTAAAATTATAACTAATATGGTAGGGAAGTTTCCTAATTAAAAAAGAAAGCTCTAATAAATATGATCAAATTTGAATCATTCAGATACAAACACCCTCTTGGGATCCCTGGGCTGTGCATGGGAGGAGAAGATGCAGGAAGGAGAGTGGATGTCACTTTTAGACTGATTGGCCCATGCTTGGGCATGACCAGTCTCTGTGCAGGGAAATATCTTCCACTCAAAACCCCAAGAATCAGAATCTGAAGGCTGATCTCTGCCCCTGAGAATAGGGAGTCAACATCATTGTGTTTAGACCTCATCTTCACACTCTAATCAAGTAAATCTGATTGCTTTTCAAAACCTCTCCCTCCTTTAAGTCCCCAAATCCTCATCATTTACTAAAAAGAAAATTCTTTTAATAAACACACATGTGTTGCATCACTACTCCAGTGAATCACCGAATTGCATAAACAATCTGAATTGGTTAAAAGAGTCTTAAGTTTTTCATTTTTTAAGAGCGGGTAGCATTTACAAAGTAAGGAGAGTGGAAGCTTGAAGTTTACAGCAAGGTCAAGGTAGGGCACATGGCTGAGAAGGAGAAACCCTTTGCCTTGGGTTTACTTCATTTTTGTTCACTGGGTCAAATTTGCAGAATTTGTCTTTGAACGTAATTTTGTCACAGAGTGGAAAACAAAGGTAACCATGTATTAGACAATTGTTTAGCAGAGTGATGTATTAGAACAGGAAATAGATTATAAACTCCAATTAAGGGCTGCCTATCCCAGGCATTAATCCAGTCACTGCTCACTAGAAGGCAAATGATTTTCTTTTAGTTGAGAAAATAAACTTTGCTAGACATTGCAGCCCTTAATACTCAATAGTTGTTTGTTGTTTGTTCCCCTAAATGTCATATATACACTGGATGAAAAAAAACCTTAGAAGTTATGTCTTGTGTTTTGCAGTCATTGGAAGAGAAACAGTTCTCAGATTTGCTGCCTGGTCTTCCTGATATGCTAAGATGTGAATTATTTTGAGGATCTGATGCTGACCAGATAGAGGGAGGTTCACGGTAACATAAAATTGATTTAAGAATGTTTTAGATGTGCAGTGCCGCTCTAAATCATAATGACAAAACATTAGATGACATTGCCTATGTTTATGCAACCACATTTGCCTTGTGGATATACAGGCATCCAACAAGTTTAAAAGACAGTGGTATGTAAACTGGAGCAAAATCTGATACATTTTCTTTAAAATTATATGACACAAGTCATTTAAACGCTCCACAGCTCACACTATGAATTGTGATGCCATGGGATAAAATTAGATCATAAGCCTAGGAAGTCAGAATTCTTTAGAATAAAGAAATATTTTTTCAGTTCCAGGGCATTATGCAGTTTCTTAAAGCTATGAGATATTTTTCCATTTTAAATCAGAATAGGATTCTCATAGTAGGTTATTTCACTTGTAGTAACTAGCCCTTTCACATGAATTTCAGTTAGTCTGGTAAGAAAATACCAAAATTCTTCCAGCACAAAACATTCCTTTTAGAGCTCAGCCATGGGAAATGTGGTAGGGGCCCACATCTGGAAGAGCAACATAAGCAGTATGGAAAGAAATTCCAAACACTTCAGGAAGGAGGAGTAGAAACTAGCAAGACAGCCAAGGTCACTTGGAGGCCAAAGAAAGAAAACAGAGGGCTAGCCCGTCTTAAATTTTGAGGTTTTCTTTTTCTATCTACCTACATATCTTGGTGCCAGAAGCAAAACTAAAATCACATAACTTTAGAGTTCTACATTAACATCCAAAAGAATGTTTGATTTTGTTTCTCTATCATCTGTGCTCTTTTTCTACAGTATGTTTTCCCTTTGAGAATCTTCAGATCAACCACACTGTACCTCAAAAAGGATCTTCATACTACCTGGAAAAATATGCCCTAATAGCTTTCTGGAAAGGGTTTCAGCTGAGACCAGGAAACATGATAATTGGCCTTTACTCTTCATAGTGCCTTGAGCTTTATTTAACTGACTAGGGAATAGGGAACTTTGCCCATAAAAGTTGGAAGCTAAAAACGGCTCAAAAGACTGAATTCAGAATTCAAGCCAGTACTTCATCTTGACAGGCTAGTGCTAGTTTCATGAAACCTTTGTATCTTAAAAAATGGATTTCATGTTGGTCTTTTTTTTTTTTTTTTGGTGAATCTTCACCTGAAAACCACAACTGAGACCCCCAAGCCAAAGTTCCTTTGCACTAGTTTCTTCAGTTAATTACAACTTTGATTCTTTAGTTTACCCCATGAACGCAGATTTCATGCTAGAACTATAAGCAAACAAAAACTTAGGCACATTTTACCTGAATAAATTTCTGATCAGTTCTCTACCTCTCATTCCACCTCACTCTTGCCTTTCTTTTACCACCATCTTTCTTTTTTTTTTTTTTTAAAGATTCATCCATTCATGCATACAAGAACTGGGGTACAGGCCAGATGTATGGGAGGGTGAGAGAGCTCACCAGAGACAGAGTGGGGAACAGAACTGGCAGACTGACTGAAATACACTGCTGAAGAATAGCCTACAATGACTTTTTCTTATAATGGATATTAAAGTTTCAGAAACACAGTGAAGGGGATAGACAGCTATAGATAAGGAATGTGGGATGGAATCAGAGTGGGTGCTAATGGTAAGTGTAGGGTATCTTAATCAGGCCCATGGGCTGGAATTTTGATAGGAAAATCAATCAAGAATCAATCAAATCAAGTGTTAGGGCAAAAGAGGCCACATACGCTAGATAACTCATTTTTAAAAAATGATCTAGATGACCTCTGAACTCCCTCTCCAGCCTGAATTCAAATTTTTGAGTAATTCCTATGTTTTGTTGTCACAGACTCTGACAGCTGCCTGCAGGCTGGGAGCTTTAGGATTTATCATTCTCTTTGGGAATTACTTGGGTCCTCCTTTCATACTACCAAGGTGCCCTTTATAAAATGAATTCTCTGTGAAACAAAATGCCCTGCCAAAAGATGAACAATTTATTTCCTTGCAGTGTGTAATATCTCAGTCAACATGATGTCATTTCAGATGTTTGGGGTTTAAAGCTTGTTCATCCTTGAATCTTGACCCCAGTTCTCTATGTGTGTTGTAAATGTGATTATGGCACATCTTACCTATCAGGAGAATCCTAACATAATTTGATTTAATTTACTTTATTAGTAGGATTCAAATAATTAATAAAAATATATTTCCCTAGGGCCTCCCTGATGGTGCAGGCGGTTGAGCACCACACTGTGAAGCTGTCTACAGCCTCTGCAGTGCGGGTTCGATCCCTGCCAGCCGGCCGGCGAGAATCCCACATGGCGAAACGGATCTCTCCTGTCTCGCCCTCTGCTCCCCTCAGCAGTGTATTTCTTCAGTCTGCCTGTTCCGTTCCCCGCTCTGTCTCCGGTGAATCCTCTCACCCTCCCATGCATCTGGCCTGTACCCCAGTTCTTGTATAAAAATAAATAAATCTTTAAAAATACATATATATTTCACTATATGATTTTTGTTGAATAAGGGTAAGAGATTAAATTTTTAATTTAATCATTAAATATATTGGTAAACAGTTTTTTTAAACTGGAAGTGGATAATCACGTCCTAGAAACTTTGGGTTTTTTTTTTTTTAAAGATTTATTTATTCATGAATACAAGTCTGGAGTATGGGAGGGTGAGAGGATTCACCAGAGACAGAGCAGGGAACAGAACAGGCAGACTGATGAGATACACTGCTGAGGGGAGCAAGGGGCGAGACAGGAGAGGTCTGCCGCACCATGTAGGATTCTCTCTGGCCGGCCAAGATCGAACCTGCTCTGCAGAAACTGTGGACAGCTTCATAGCACTGTGCCCAACCGCCAGCGCCACCAGGGGAGGCCCACTTCCTAGAACTTTGAAATAAAAAATTGAAAGGGCAGTAATTTCTTTTACTTTTCTGCTTATGCTTTAA